TAGAAAAGATTTTGAAATTTTTCGAATTATCGACTATAATTTTATTCATGAATTTTTTGACGATTTAATAATTTTTCGACAACTCAAATACTTGGTCTCGGAGCCCTAAATATCGCCTTACGAGGTATTAGAAATAATAATTATTAGAATGGAGCATTTATCTACTGTATCGTTAGCAGGCGACTTTCGTTAGATCTTATGAGTAGAGGACAGGCGGAAGTCTCATGTGTGGCCTTCAGTGACAAAGCTGCTTGCAAACTTAGGTAAAACTTTTTCTTAGCATTAAGAAAACAGTCATAAATGAAATACTCTTGTAATCATTCGGCGGGGTTAAATATCAGCGTAAATTCATTGGCCTAGGCGGACTGCAAGTGACAGTGTTGTTTGAAGGTGGTTATCATTAAGTACTAACATTCAATTTGCAATTGGCGCATTTTATATACATACGTGTAGGTATTTATATATATATATCTATGGAGTAAGTATAAGTTCGAGTTTACTCCACAGAAATAAAGATCTTTCTTCAGTTTGTACCAGAAAATTATTTTGAGAAAAGCGAAAATGTAATTTCGATTTTTTCTTTATGATCTTGCATGTATATAATTGGCGATTTATAACCGCTGAAGCAATTTTCATCCGAGCTCCTCCTCCGCTTTGTCGTTTTGCGTCTTGATGTTTTTCCAAGAGATGGAGTAATCTACAATTTATACCGAACCGCCTACGAATGGTTCTTAATGAAGAGCTTTTTGTCATGTCAGAAATACACTCGCAGGAATGGGCATTCCCTACCGAGGGACGATCGCAATTAGAAAATTTAAATTAGTTTTTTATTTTTTAAATAAGATTTCTATTACTTTTGAATGTTGTTCGTACCAGGATTTGAACCCGAGCAATCCGAATGGCAGCACGCAATGCTAACTACTCAGTTACCGTGGCCACCATATTATACGATAATATTTCTAATTATGAGAGGAAGAACGGAAGAAACAATAATTACTTTCACTAGACGCAGTTTGATTTCTCAAAAGTGGTATTTATTACTCAGCTGTGAGCCTCAAGAAGGCCACAGAAGCAAACAAAGCAAGATAGAGTATCTTCTTCAGTCGAGTTTGCCTCTGCGTGTGAAGTCTTGAATCTAGTCAAAACCAAATTGTTTAGCCTAGAAGAGAGTTAAGCGCTGCGGCAGTAGCTCTTCGATTGCTCAACCATCACCAAATGAGCGCGAGTACCTTAAGCTCCGCTCATGAAGCATGAGAGCGAATATAACAAAAAAAAATTACATACAAATGCTACTCGTAGCTACAGAACTAGTCAACTTATGACTTATTTTAGTATTTTTTTCTTAACTTAATGCTTTCTAGTAGAATTTAATTTTTTTTTTTAAATTTAATTTTTTAATATAAAAAATTTACGAAATCTGCTTAAACCATTCAGCAGATCAGGGTTTCCTGCGGAATGTATGAATGTGATTGTGTGTTTGTGTTGCACAACAGATGTTTGACAACATTAATGTATTTCTTGTGTTGCTTCATTTGATTTGCAACAACAATTTCAATTATATACTCAATTAAGTCTTATATTTATTGAAAAATCTACTTTATGCACAAATAATTATGTAATATATTTAACAAAAAAGAAAAAAATCACTAATCTGAATTTTTATAATTATGTGTTTTGTTCAAACCTTCTTTTTTCTTATTTTTGTCTTTTTTTACGCGATTTGTTCAAATGCTGCTTCATTGATTTGCCCCATTACCATTCACAAATCGAATGAAATAAAAAAAAATGTATTGAAAATTGTGTGTGTTTTAAAAAACAAAAAATATAAAAATACGAAAAAATCCGAAAAATTTACCACCATTCCTTATCATCATCCTTCAACCATTCACCACCTCTCAATCAAATGCAAATGTTCAAAAATCAAAACAAAAAAAAAAAACAAACAAAAAAATAAATAAAAAAAAAACGCAACCAAAAAATTCAAACATCACCTTAAAACCATTGAAATGAAGATATTTCCATTTCCAACCAAATCTCGACAGTGGGCGCATTCGAGCCGGACTTTGTCTTTCCGCTGGAGAACGTCACCGTAGCACAGGGACGCGATGCGACCTTCACGTGTGTGGTTAATAATCTCGGCGGTCACAGGGTGAGTGGCGACTCCGCAACAGCCAGGGTATGTATCGGTTTTGAAGTGGCGTTATAAAGAGCAAGAAAATTTTAGTTTTCACTTTTTTTACAATTTTTTTTTAAACTTTCATTTTCCAGCACCATTTTTGTTATTAAATAATTTTGTTTAAATTTACTTGAAATGCACTAAAAAAAATAATAATAATAATTAGAATTTTCAATGCACCAACGCACCTAAATATTACAAAGGCAGTAAGATCAAAACAATAACAATTTAACAAATCACTTTCGATTTATGTAGTCAAATAAAAAATGAAAAAATACACATACATTTACAAAAATGCCAAAAAAAACGCACCATTTAACATACAAATATATTGCGGCATAAATAAGCGCACAGAATTAATTGAAATTTTAAGCACTTTTTAGTTTTCATCACAAATAATCATAACTCGTAAGTTTGCACCAATGCACAATAGTTATTTAATTTTAATTGAATTTCAAAATTTTCTCAAAAAAAGAACAAAAGCGAACAGTTAGCAACACAAATTTGTAGCAACACTCAAACGTACATGAGTATTTAGAAAATTTAAATACATTTATTTAGCAATAAAGTGCACTTATTGAAGAAAAAAGTTAAATTCACTTTTCACTTAAAATTTATAGTTTTAATTATTAAACACTAACACACATAACATAGTATTGTTTGTTTGTTGTTTTGTTTTGTTTTTTTACTTTTAATAGCTTAACACCTACAGGCACTTACACAGACAGAAAATCACCTTTCGGTTAAAGTTTTTCAAAAATTAAAAAAAAAAACAACTTTTGAGCGTTGAAATTAAAATATGTAAGTGCATTTGTGAAAGCCTTAAATAATTATAATCGTTGTGTTTTTAACCAGTTTTTATTACCCGCACCTAAATGTAGGCAGCATGATTTTTACAACAGTTTGTATGAAAAACAAAACGTTGCCTACATTTAAGATGATAAAGATGAGAGATGTCTCTTTTATTACTCTGTTTGCCGTCAATTGGAAATACGAATACAGTAACGTCTTTCTCCACCTGATCGTTCCTCTGCTTTTGTTGCCGATTACTTGATCCAAAAATTCGAAAGCTAGAGAATTTTTATCGATTCGGAGCACATAACCTATCCAACGTAACCTCTGTCTCTTGATTCTATATTGTGATGGAATGATGAATATGTTGAAGAATGTAGTCCTCATCAGTAGAAAAAACTTCAATGTATGCGGTTTTCTAAGACTAATATTATTTCGCAACGTGTTCATCTGGGACTTTTATTTATTTATTTATTTACAAGAGAACTAATTATAAATAATTAATTCACTAAAGAAACAAGCACTGGCTGCCAAGGCCTTCGGCTGTCAATATTAAACATAATGTATACCTTAAGAATTTACATTTACCGNTTCAAAAAAAAACCGCACGACTCAATTTAAAGTACCTAGTACCTATTGGCAAGAGTTATTATGCGCTAAATATCCAGATTGTTATTATTATTGTTCCTAATACTGGTTTCATGATAAAGAAAGTTGTCGACGACTTCAAAGCTTTGGCTGACAACTGTGACTTGAGAGCCGATTGATGTCAATGTTTTGGGCCTACGTCAGCAGCTGAACGCTCTTATGGAAGATTGAATATTCCGTATTCAGTAAATAAAAAAAATCACACGATTCTCTCTTCTCGATTCTCTCTCCCATCTTCCTGGAAATTTGCGCTCATTCATTTGGTCACTGTAGTGAAAGTCAAAAGAATCTACTCGTCTCCAGCCTTGTCCCGTCCATCACATTTCTTGTATAGCGTTGATAGCGCGCCTTAGTATCACGAGGACATCAACTAGCTGGCCAGTGGCACCATCCCAATTAAGGAAGCGGACGTGCCAGGTGAATACTCTTAAATGAAATTCGTTAATAAAATAAAAAAAAATGTAGTCCCTCAGCCAGGGTGCTGTTAAATTATTTATTGGAGCTGGTGTCTATTTAGCAGTTCCCAAGCCCAACCTACAAGCTCGCCAAGCAAATGGCTTTCAACTTTCAGCTTTGGAACTTTAAATCTTCTAGTTAAGATCTGGTGTCATTAGCAACATCTCTTCTCTACATGAAATCATAAAAAGTTTTGGGGAATTTCACTTTGTGGTGGAGCTGAAAAGCTATCGAGTGTCTTCGTTCTTTGACAATATTGCTTTAAAAGGATTGTGGGTTTTTCTCTATGGAAATGCAAAATCGCTTCTTGTATTGAGCGAATTTCCAGGCTCACTTTCAATGATCGTACAATACTTTCATTTCTATATTAAAAAACCCCGTTTCATCTTTCCCTAAAGAAATATTCGTCATAACATTGTGCTGATCTATCTTTACCCTCTTCATCATTCCATCAGCAGTGGCATATTTAACAGTCATAAGAAAAAATTTTTTCACAATTTCTTTTCTAAAATTTTACCAATTTCATCCCAAAACTCGTTTTACTGACAATCGTACTCTTATCTCAATCAAAAGTATGAAAAAATTTATAGTTTAAGTAAGCAACGAAACATCAAAAAATATATGTATATATCTAGGTCAACAATTTGAATCAACAATTTGAATCAACTTGTACAAAAAACAGACATTTGCATTTGTTGCACAATTTTCAATATTGATAACAAAGTTCATTGATCTCTTAGAAAATTAAAAATAAATCAAAACTAGGTCTATGTGCTCATGTTGCGACGATTTCGGCAACCTTCTGCTACGGGTAAATGTGCCAACCAATAGGCTGCGCCCGAAAATTTAAGAAAAAAATCAACAAAAGTGCTGTACGTGACTGCATGCCACAAAATACACGCGCCTTGTATATTGAGAACGTTTTTTTTTTTCATAAATTGTATATGTATGTATATACTACGTTAGAATATCCACTGAAATGGCCATTTGACGCGAGCACGTGCTTGTGAACCAAAAATTTGGCATAGTGACAGCGAAAATAGACTGGTAGGCACATATCTATATCTATATACAATGCATTACGGCTGCAGTAGCTAATATTTATAATCAAAATTTACGAACAAAAATTAAAAACAAAATTGATATTGAATTCTGATTTTAAAATAAGTTACAGTGAAACTTTTGTTTAATGCTCCTTACTCTTGCCTACAATAAAACTTAAGCGTAGTCAGAAAGCTAAGTTATTGCCTACATTTAGGAGCGCTATATCTAAGACTCCCACCACGAAAAATTTTAGATGGGAAGGGCTCTTATCCTTACAAAACTTCACTGTAGAGTAGATCGAATTTTTCTGACGTTGATTTTGATTGGTCCTCTCCAGTGCAAGATTTTTGCTATCATACAATTCAACTCTCAAGAAATAAACATTTTCAACAGCCCTTAGAAGGCATTGGTATGCCTGTGGACAGAATTAACTACCATATTAAGAATCTAGTTACAGACAGTACGTAACTAAGAGGCTTATATTATCGCTACACGTGGTAAACTTGGCCGAAATAATATAGCAGTAAGTCACAGGCTTACACTCTATGAAACAGGAGAAGGCATGGCACTGTTCCATAAGATAATATGCAGAAACGCCGGGAATCTGTCTAGAGATGCTGTAGGATGTGAAAATTACGATTTCTTGTGTGATGGGCATGCTCTAAAATGAAGTAGACTTTAGAGTATTAGAACTAAGTGTGTGTGCTTTCATAACGAACTTAATTTGGTCCAGGTACTACGAGGTTCCTGGCTCTTTGGTAGGTTTATTTTTAACCATTAAGAAAGTTTTGCAGTGACCGAAGCAAATAGTGAGGTGGTTCAAAATTTGGACTAACTGGGGGGTCATTAAAGCTCCTCAACTAAGCTGCGTTCATTTTTATCTGATCAACAAATATATATATTGTATTCATTTGTTAACAGTAAAACTAATAATGGTTCATTTCGCTAGTTTGTAGTAGCTCGCAATTGATTATCACTTTCAAGTCCTTCAAATGATTCGATTTCTTCTTCTGTTCTTCTTCTTCATTGGCGTAAGCACTACTCACGCGGTTACAGCGAATCATTAGTGCGTCATTTATCTCGTATTTTCGGTGTTTCGTTGGAAATATCAAATGAAGATAGGTCACTTTTTACCTGATCTTTCCGAACAAAATGAATTATTTTCTATTCTTCTAACTCTACCGGCAGGTACTGCATTGAAAACTTCCAAAGCTAAAGTTTTTTTTCCATTCGAACGACTAACCCAGCGTGAGTAGCCGCTGCCTCTTTATTCACTGAACTATCTCAATATCATCGTATAACTCGTAGTGCTCATCAGACGACGACATCTTTCACGCTTTCCCACAACAGAGCAGGGTGAGAATGATGAGTGACTTGTGGAATTTGAAATTGATTCGTCGGCTTTACTTTTCAATTGCCTACTGACTTAAATTAATAACCATTGGCAAGAGTGATTCTGCGCTGAATTTCAAGGCTAACATCGTTGTTGGTTTTAATACTGATTCCAAGAGATTCGAAATTATCTATGACCCCGAAGCTACGAATATAAGCAATGACCTGGGAATAAAGACGCCGTTGCACTTACAATTTGTTTGGTGGCATGAGATATTTCGTCGTGTCTTGTCACGTCAGAAATATTTCACTGAGGGTAAATCGGTCAATAAATTTTATATGCATTAGTTCATGTGGCTCCCAAATATCGAGTTCTTTAAGTAGTCAGCTTTTATTAAATAATTCCAAACTGTCGCGTGAGTGATGTCTAATTCCTACGCTATCATCTGATAGCATCCATACCGGTCTCGCTTGAAAAATATTTCTTGAAACACGTGCCCATAGTAAGAACACACTCTAGGGACAAAGTCGCGAGCATACTTCTGTCAGCACAAGATGACTAAGCGTATGACATTCCAACGTGAAAGCACTGTTTTTGTTTGTGTTGGACTTTAAAATAACAAGGAATCTAATACTCCTAAACCGATTTACCATCAATACAAAAACTGGTATACCAACTAGACAGCACCTAATGGATTTATTGAATGATTGCTGTTGTTGCTGCATAG